TTCCCGGAGCCCTCATCCTTATCTGCCTGCCCTAGTACCATCAGTGGCCGGGGTATACCATGAGGCTTGAACCTCCGCAGCTTGTCACGGGGCCCCCAGACAAACTGGCAGCGAGGTCTGAAGTGCTCCCATGCAAAGTACACAAGCTCCCGGCGCTGGTGTCGGCAACGCACGGCGAACAGGAAGTAGTCCAGGACACTCTGACGCACGCTGGGCAATTTGTGCTGTACCAGTGTCTCCTCCAGGAAGAAGCGGACCAGCGGTGCCTGGTAGTGCTCTAAGCCCAGCTCTCCCAGCGACTTGAGGATGCGTGTAATGCGCAGGTTGTTGTGGCTGTGACTATGAAGGTGGGTGACAGGAGGTTGGATGGACCTGGCCCTGGGGATACACATCTGGCCAAGGCATCTCTAGCTGGCTCCATCTCAAATTTCCAGGGTCTTCTCGGGCCCCCACCTGGGAAAATGCCCTGTGTACCCTGACCCTGTGGACAGGATCTGCAAGTCCTGGGAGATGCCCTAATCCATGGACTCCTGTCTGGGAAACACTGCTGAAAGCTAGAAGGGGCTGACATCCTGGCAGACCCAGAGCAACTGAGATGTCTGTAGACCTCCCTTGCCTCTGCTTCCTGGGTGGAGGGGATGAAAACTCCCCAGCCAAGGGACTGCTGCCTTTAAGATCTCACAACACTAATAAAGCACCTACACTCTGGGGCCTGTATTAGACTTCTCTGCTGGAAACCTGGCCCCAGATACTGAGGGGGAGCAGCAGGGATGGGAGGATGCCAGCAGGGCCCTGTCCTCACCTGTTCAGGTTGTGGAAGCGTGGCTGGAAGTTCTGTGCACGGCAGACGGCACCGGTGTCCCGGTCCTCAAGTTGGATCCCATAAAAGCCCAGCATGAGTTCATAGGCCCGGACAAGACGCTCTTTGACTTCCTCAGAGCTTTTAAATGCCTAGAAAACAATCCCCTGGGGGCTCAGGTGGCCCTTGGCCCTCACTTATCACTGTTGCCAACGCCTTCCCTTAGGCCCTGACTCAGCCTCTGGGGATGAGACAACTTCAACATCTCCAGCTTTCTTCTCTGAGTCTAGGAAACTTGTTACCTCTATTAACCTGAGTCACCTGCCACAAGGAATTCCTTGCTATCCCTGTCCCTTACCTCTGCTACTCAGTCTCTAAGGGCTGGCCCCCTTTCTCTGATGTCCCCAACAGGTGGCATCATTCCCATTAGGCAGATCTCCAGGTGCCACAGGGGCACCATGGGGCTCTTCTGGCCCCTGCTGCAGCACAGACACGGTCATGGCGACCTCTCTGCAGGCAGGAGAAGCTCTCCTAACTTCCCAGTCTGGCCCAGGAAGAGAACTTACCTCAACCTCCTTGAGTGTGAGGGGCTTGGCATGCCAGTTTACTCCTGGTTCCCTCAGAGGAAACAGCCTGTGAAGATAGTGAGGGTATAGACACTTTAGTATCAGACAGCAACCTATCTTTAATTCAATGCCTCCCTCTTATTCCTGGGAGAGGCTTCTCTCTTAATCAAGGAACTGGGTGAGGATGCCATCCAGCTGAGAGCAGGTAAGATGGCTGCTTGGAGCCTCAGTCTATGTGCTCAGTGAGCTGTGTGGTATAAAGTCAAAATGGGCAAGACCAGTATGTCTGTCACCTTTGGGGGACAGAACTTTCTTTTCTATGTTTTCATAGTTTGCTCTGTCTTGTCGCTAGTCCTGCAGGATTACTGCCACAATGTACTCATGCAAAAGAGGACACTGGGCACAGCCCAGTGGGCTGTCCTCAAGCAAGGGACATTGTTCTTGCCAGAAGTGGCATAGCTTCTGAGGCTGCTGTGTGGCACCTCACTCGAGCCCTGCTGAAACTAAGTCAGAGGTAGTCCAGCTCCAGGTGCCCCCTAGACAGATAGGCCTGCCCAAGGAACTGTATATAACACCCCCACAGAGCCCAACAACAGGGACACTAGCTAGAGGTCTGCAGGCAATACCTGTCACATACTCATAGACTTATGGAAAGGAAGGAGTGCTTCACACACACCTAAACCTAGATACAGCATGACAGCTCCCACCTATATGAGCAGCCCCCCCCCCAAAGACCCACCTATTCAGTTCCACTCACCACTGGATATAGGAGTGATTCTCTTCAAGGAGGTCATAGTTGTCTTTCCAGTTGTGAAGAATTTCCTCAATTAAAAGACCTGGAAGTCCCATGGGGGAAAAGTCACCTACAGAGGCTTCCTTGACATAGTTCAGGGGACAGAGCTATGTCACAATCACTGCCTACCCTCAATTTCTTTAGGGTTCTCAGGACTCAGCAGAGCTATCCACAGCTCATCAGATACAAAATGTAGACAACTAGGCCTACTTCTCTATATGAGGGGTGCATTACTTCCTCTCTGGGGTACATGCTCGAGAGCACATGCACACACACACACACAAACATGTACATACACATCACACACACTCGCTCACGCACACACCACATTCACACGCACGTACACACACACCTTGTCAGCCAGGAAGCTCTGTACTCAGAAGCAATCCCCATAGAAACCAGGCCTGGAACATGGTCCAGGGAAGGTGCCCTTTCGGGGCCAGACAGCAAACATCTCAGCTATGTAGCCACATGGCCTTTTCCATGCACAGCAAAAAAGCAACCTCATAAATGGATGGGTGTGAGTAGGCACCAACAAAACTTTACTTATACTGCTTAGTTTCAAATAACGTTTATGCCACAAAACAGATATGGCGCCTCAGGCCTATAATTTCAGCACTTGGGAGACTGAGATGGGACAATCTCTGAGTTTGAGGCCAGCCAAAAGCTTACTCTCTGGCCCTTCAACCTAAGCTCCAATTCCCTTGGCAGCCTCAAGGGGGCACTGCGGGGCCACTTGAAAGCCAAAATGGGACTGAGGACAACCACCAGTTTAGCAGAATGGACAAGGGCAGGAGCACTGGGGACGAGTGGGCAGGTACCGTTTGGCTGGAAGCAGATTTCATTTTTGTAGAAGCTCAGGTTAGACATGTCGCCATTGCAGTCTTGATCTGCCAAATCCTGAAGAGCCAGAAAAAGGATGGCTGAGGACTCACGAGAAACAAGCCATCTTTAAGGGCCCCTCATACTTCATGCAGTCAGGGGCAGGGACAGCTGTTCAAGACCCTAAAGGTCATTTTGGGACCTCTCTGTGAGCATGGGTAGGTTTGGAGGACAGTCCCACCTTCATCTCCCAACCAGCAGAGGCTATAGATGGCTACTCCCCTTCTGTACCTCAAAAACAGCACAGGGGTTGCCAGTACCTCATGGGTACAGAGGAGAGAGACTGAAGCGATCCCATGTGCCAGTCTGGGAGCCCTGTGTAAAGCACTGAACCACATGTTCTGTCAGGAAGCTGGTCTCTCATTTTAAAGCTACACTCTGAGGCTCAGGTAGGACAGCATGCTATCGCCCCATGACTAGGGAAAGGGCATGGATCTGAACTGACAATGAAGAACATACCCCAGAGCCCAAGGCTGGATTTTCAGCAGGCCAGGGGATGCTTTACTTGGGAAGAGGACTGTGTCTCGAGGTTGGGGCCATGTGTACCTACCGGGTAGTGGTGCCGGTACCTTTGCATGTCCTGCATAGCTCGCCAGTTTCGGTACCCTGTCATCCTGGACTGGAGAGAGAATAAAAGGAATGAGATACCTGGGAAGTGACCAGGATGAAGGTGGCATGGCTTGAGCCAACCACCATTGAGTTCTACGAAAGAGGAATGGGCATTTCTGATTCTTCTTCTGGTCTCTACCCACCTTGTGTCAGGAGTTCTGAGAAGGGCAATCTAGACACTACAGAAACATATCTCCATGTGAACACAGACAGAGGGGACTAGAGTAGCCCGAGCTACCACTCCTGCCTCTCTCTAGGGTGCCTTGGGCCATATTAGCCTACATACTGCCAAGGTGTGCATGGCTGGTGCTCTTCTGCCCCCAGCCCCGCTGCATCTCTCTGGTCCGCTGACCAACCTCATTTTGGCCCAAGCCCTCTGTGTGTCCCCTCCCCTGAGTACTACAGTATTTCTCCCCATATTATGCCATCAATGGTCAATGGCTATATCCCCAAGGGCAAACAGCCTCAAGAGAAAACCCAGATGCCTCTGGATGAGTCTGATGGATGGTGGGGTGAATGAGGCCCCTTCCCTGAAAAGCCCCTGCTCCTCCCTGGCCAAATGTGATGGAGAGGACACTGTGTCTCCAGGCTTGGGACTGGCTTGTAAGTGCTTCAGGTATGATCCAAGAGCTCTTGTGGGGAAACAATTCTCATCAGAGTTTTTGGGCTTTACCCAGCCTCAGCTTCACTCCAATGTGGTCAGGCACAGGGCAGGGCTGGCATGTCTGGAAGGCCGGCCTGAGAGCCTCTCCAGATTCTGGGTGACTTTCCCCCAAATAGCAGACGACCAGAGATGGCAGCGACGGAGAGAGAGGATGGCCACAGTCCTCACTCATTCTCTAGGTTTTCCATCATGCCCGAAGCCACAGCCACAACCTGGGCAGTGTGTCTTGCAGAACGGCACTACGACTTACACGCTGCTTGCTACGAAACTACACCCTGAGACAAGCCCTGGTGGCAACAAAAGTGGCCACAGCTGGTGGCAGTCAGACAGCCCTCGCCCGGCCCCAGCTTTCCTCGGCCGGGGTCACTGGCCCTCTGCAGTCCGGGGCCGAATGGGGGGCGGGGGAAGGCCACCCGGGGGAAGGCCACCCACGCAGGGTGAGGATCTGGGGCGCGCTCTGACGTCACCCACGCACGACCCCCCCCCCAGTCGCTGCCCTGACGTCACCGGCGCTCGGTCCGACACGGCCTGGGCCCGGCGCCCCCTCGGGACAGCGGCCAGGGCCGGACGCTCACGCTCACGGCCTGGTGTCGCTGTGTGGCCCTCCCGCCCTCTTGCACCTGGAACACGCCTGGCCGTGTCTCCTCCGCGTCGCCGTCCTCGTCGCCCGTGTCCTCATCGCCCGTATCATCCGCCTGGCCGTCCTCGCCGTCCTCCTCGCTCTCGTCCTCCCAGGTGGAATCGCAGTCCGGGTAGTCCATGCTCGAGAGGCAGAACCGGCTTTCCGTGGAAAGGAAAGTGAAAGAGGAGGAAGCGCGGGGGCGGGGCGGCGCCAGGCCCCGCCCACCGCTCCGCTTCCGCCGTTACGCGGGGTACCCGGCCCGGCAGCTACCCTTGGCGCTGGGCGCGGAGCGGTGCCCGGGAGAAGGCAGTCCCGGAGAAGGACAGCCCTGGAGGCTCTGCACCAGGGATTCCTGCCCCCACCCTCTCCCGGAAGACGCACCTCCTCAGACTCAGGGCCCCTAGAGATTCGCACTTCCCTGGAGACTGTCCCTCCCCTCCAGAGAGATAGGCGGGCGGGCTTCTCCCCACCCTGCGGGCAGGGCCTCTTTCTGCCAGCTCTGGCCTGTCCCTCCTGCCTGGCCTCCGTGTCTCTACTAGCTCACTTTGTACCTGTGTGTGTGTGTGTGTGTGTGTGTTTAGATACCCATGGACACTAGTGTGTGTGTATGGGTGTGTGTGTATGTCTGTGTGTTTAGATACCCGTGGACCCTAGTGGGTGTGTATGGGTGTGTGTGTGTGTCTGTATTTGGATCCCCGTGGACACTAGTGTGTGTGTGTGTGTGTTTAGATACCCATGGCCCCTAGTGTGTGTGTATGGGTGTGTGTGTATGTCTGTGTGTTTAGATACCCGTGGACCCTAGTGGGTGTGTATGGGTGTGTGTGTGTGTCTGTATTTGGATCCCCGTGGACACTAGTGTGTGTGTGTGTGTGTTTAGATACCCATGGACACTAGTGTGTGTGTATATGGGTGTGTGTGTCTGTGTGTCTGTGTGTATTTGGATACCCGTGAACACTAGTGTGTGTGTGTGTGTGTGTTTAGATACCCATGGACACTAGTGTGTGTGTATGGGTGTGTGTGTGTGTGTGTCTGTGTGTATTTGGATACCCGTGAACACTAGTGTGTGTGTGTGTGTGTGTTTAGATACCCGTGGACACTAGTGTGTGTGTGTCTGTGTGTTTAGATACCCATGGACACGAGTGTGTGTGTATGGGTGTGTGTGTGTTTCTGTGTGTTTAGATACCCGTGGACACTAGTGTGTGTGTGTCTGTGGGTTTAGATACCCATGGACACTAGTGTGTGTGTATGTGTGTGTGTGTGTGTGTGTGTGTGTGTGTATGTCTGTATTTGGATACCCGTGGACACTAGTGTGTGTGTGTTTAGATGCCCGTGGACACTAGTGTGTGTGTATGGGTGTGTGTGTGTGTCTGTGTGTTTAGATACCCATGGACACTAGCGTGTGTGTATGGGTGTGTGTGTGTGTCTGTGTGTTTAGATACCCATGGACACTAGCGTGTGTGTATGGGTGTGTGTGTGTGTCTGTGTGTTTAGATACCCATGGACACTAGCGTGTGTGTATGGGTGTGTGTGTGTGTCTGTGTGTTTAGATACCCATGGACACTAGTGTGTGTGTATGTGTGTGTGTGTGTGTGTGTGTGTGTGTTTGGATGCCCGTGGACACTAAAGGTCGATGTTAAGTGTAGTTCTTCAGTAATGTGGCCACCCTATTATTTTGAGACAGGGGATCTCTTTCACCTGCAGCTGAGATTCCATGAAGCTGGCTATCCAGCAGGGATCCTACTGTCTCTGCCTCCCCAGCGCTGGAATTACAGGTACACACCACCAAGGCTTCTAGGTTGTGACCAAACTCGGGTTTTTTCCTTTTTTTTTTTTTTTTTTTTTTTTTTTTATTTTCAAGACAGGGTTTCTCTGTGTAGCTTTGGAGCCTAACCTGGCACTCGCCCTGTAGATCAGGCTGGCCTTGAACTCACGGAGATCCACCTGCCTCTGCCTCTGCCTCCTGAATACTGGGATTAAAGGTGTGCACCACCAACACCCGGGCTCAAACTCAGGTTCTTATGTTTGCAAAGCTTTTTTTTTAAACCAGTTGAGCCCTCTCCCTTCTGTGTTCTGAAAGAACAATAGTGAATTCCTGAAGCCATGGAAGTTCTGGACACCCACTAATGTCCACTGCAGATTTCTTGGGATCATGTGCATAGGTAGCCCTTGGCTGATAGCTGGAATTCCACTGCTGACTGTGGCCTCAAGCCTGACCTTGTTATGTGGCCCACTTTTTTAGGCAAGATAGAAAGGGAGAGTTAAGGGGGCACGGGTGGGTAGCAGGGGAAAGGACCCCCAGTCCAGTATGGTTGGAGTTTCTCATCAGGCAAGAGTTATGAATTCTAGGACAGTTGACAAAAGTTGCTTGAAGACTACCTACATAGAGAAAATATCCCTTTTATATAACGATATCCCAAATAATATTAAAATAGTAATGATTTTACTTCAGGCTTATGTGTTTATGACCTTACGAGTATGGCCTTACTCTTTGACCAAATGTGAACCTGTAATTATCTGGGAATCTCACAGTAAACATACATTGTCTCTAGCAACTGTCCAGTACACAACAGACTATGGTTTGATATATTAAAGTTCCCTAGCAATTCCTTGAGCTGGAACTTCAGAAACTACCCAAATCAGATTGATGGGCCACTGTACTCCTATGTCATTTTCCCTTGAGAAGCCGGTAGCCACACTTGGGTGTGCTCTGCTTTTCCCAAACACTCGCTATCAACCCATGTATTTATGCCTAAAATATCTTTCCAAACTCCAACTCTGCCTCACACTGACTTACCCCATGAAGTCAAGAATCCTGGCTTCACCTGAGTGATCTCGGAGAAGGCATGACCAGCAGAACAGCTCAGTGGGTAAAGGCACTTGCCATCAAAACCTAGTAACCTGAACTCAATCCCAGGAACCCACATGGTAGAAGACAAGAACTGGCTTGGAAACGTTGTCTCCGACCTCCACATGTGTACCCATGCAAATACATATGCATATTAAATAAAAACACAATAAGAAAAAACAAAAACTACAACTCGGGTGCTGTAGGTGGCAGCATGGAGCTCTGATGTCTGCTTCACTGCTTCTGACACCAACCATGCTCAGGCTGGGACCTGGTTAAGCATGCCATGAGATAGGGAAGCCATAGGTGGGGTGTTGGTTAGTGGGTGCTGGAGATCTTAAGGTTTGCCTTCCCTTGGATGGACAACACCCACCCCTAACTATCCCAGAGAGTTGAAAAATGGACATGCCCTGGGCTGATATCTGCAAGAGATAGAGTGCCACGGTGCCTGGTGCTTGTGCAGCAGCAGCAGACCCATGCTGTCAGGGTTTCAGTCACTATCACACTGAGTTGCCTGTTGGCTGCCACATGCTATGCCTTCCTCCAGTGTTTTTGGTTTGGTGATGCCCAGTGTGGCTCAGTGCTGCCTCACCTAGGAAGGGGGTCAGAATGTGCCCCGAGTCAGGCAGAAAAGGGGTCTCTGTCCACACAGGAGGTAACACTGTGTTTGAGCTTTGCAGGTTGTCTGGCTGGGGTGAGCTCAGGTTAGAACAGTGCTAACACTTCCTTCAGGTATAACAAGTTACAGCCAGCCCATGGCCTGGCTGCCCTTTCTGGTCCCTCCCACCCCCCACAAACACACTTTGTAACCTGCTGCTGCTACTCAGTATTCTCTATTGTTTTCAGGGCAGAAGGCACCCCCATTCCCTTCTTGACCACCCTGAGCCAGACTGGGAGAGGTAAGACCACACCTACCTGAATGATCCCTACATTAAATTGCAACCAGAGCAGAGGAGAAAGCCTCACCCACGCCCACACAGTGTGAGGCTTTACATAACAGATGTCCTGTGGTGCCTGGTGTCCTCCACACAGGGTGCCCCTATGGTGGAGGCTGTGGGTCTCAACACCAACATGGCTTCTCAGTGTGAACTATACGGGCATTTCCTTTTGTTTCACAGCTACTAGCATTTTGTATTTGTACTTGGCATTCTTGCCTCCTTTGCACTCTGGTTTCCTTTTCAGCTCTTGTTGGTAACCTAAACATCACTGGTTGGGGGTGTACAGAGCCCACCCTAGGCTGGGAGAGGGAAAGCATGTGTCCTAGAACTCCAAGTCTTACTGCCAGGTTGTGACATGCTTTCATGCCAGCAGCATGGTCTGTTTCTGTCTTTTTTTTTTTTTTTTTTTTTTTGGTTTTTCTATACAGGGTTTCTTTGTTTAGCTTTGGACCTTTTTTTCCCCTCGCTCTGGAGACCGGGCTGTCCGCGAACTCACAGAGATAGGCCTGCCTCTGCCTCCCGAGTGCTGGGATTAAAGGCGAATGCCACCACCGCCTTGCTACCTGGATATCTCTTAAGGGACACAGGGACACTCCTGTGAGGAGGGCAGCAGTTTTGAGTTTACCCACATGAGACTCTTGTGAGGCAGTGTGGCCGGAATGCGACACTGGGCTATTGGGTAAAGCCTGCTGCTAGAACAAACTGACCAGGCCCCCCTGCATGCTCTCATCCCCCTAGACTGTCCTTTCAGATGGTTTAGAAGACTGAGCCTGGCTGGACAGAGGACTGCCTTCCTGATCATCACACTGCCCCTCAGGGGCACTATCTACCTCCCATTTCTCTTGCTAGTGGTGGATTCAACAGCGAGACTTCTCCCACCAAACAAGCCTCTAGTAGTGGATACTGGGCAAAGACAGGACAGAGTGGCCCCAAGCCCGTTCCAAAAGCATGTTGTAACACTGCTTTCCCTGTCTGTCACTTGCAGTGGGACATGTGGCACTGCTCCAGGTCTGAGCACACAGTCTATACCATAGGCCTCTACCTCCTGCCCCATCCCAGGAGGCAGGAAATGAAATTATGACCTTGTCCAGGCCCTACAGAAAGAGACCCAGAGACCTCCCACAGCTGGTCTTTCCTGAGAGGACAGGCCAGGAGACTAGGTGAGCTCATCTGTATCCACTCAAGATGCTTTCTGTTTCAGAGAGGGTTCATGGTGACCCAACTGTCCTAACTAAAAGTGGCAGTGGGCTGGTATAGGCCAGCTTGGAGCCCAACACTGGGCACTGGGTCCTCATCACCTGGGACCCTACAGAAGGCGGGAGGGGTTTCAGTCACAGACAGTAGTCAAGATGGTCTGGTCAGTAGTCAGTGTGCTCATCCCACACAACAGCTGGAATTGGTCATAGAAGGACAATAGGCAGCAGCCTCAGGTCTAATGCCAGACAGCAGCTGGGCAGGCAGTTGAAGGTTAGGGTGTCCTGCTAGTCTGTGATGAAGGCTCAACACCTTACTGCCATCCAGTGATGCCAGGAAATTGTCTAACTGTGCTTTACAGTTATGAGTCCTGGGGTGGGGATCCTTTTCTCTGTAGGGAAAACAACAAAAACACCCATTTTAGTAGCAAATCACACAACTGCCAAGATGATTTTTTAAAATGCTTTAATGTTCTCCAAATGAAAGTACTTCAACCATCAGGCTAGTGGCTCTTCAGTCCGATGGCTGTGCCTTTATTCCACGTCCTTAAAATTAGTCTTTTCCAAATTACTAAAATTACAAAAATAACCGCTAAAAATTCTCTGTATCTGGCATATAAAAACAGAGCCAGAGGTATCTCAGTAGTTACCTTAAAACAAAACATCTCAGAAAAAAACACATCACAGGTTTAACTTCTGCAGTATTTTTCTTCATACAAAAACACTAGTAAAATAGGCTTCTTAAAAATTAAATAGTGAAATACGAACCAAATTATATACATTGTTACAGTACACGTGAATGAGGCAAAATATCCAGTTCTTGTTTCCCAGATAGGGGAGGCCTTCTGTGCACAGTGTGTGCTCTGTCAACTCCAAAGACACCTTTTCCTGATGCCAGTGCACGCTGGAGCCTCACAGGACAAGCAATGCAAAGAGTGGGCATCTAGGAAAGGTGAGTGGCTGCCTCCTTCAGAGGACAGTGAGGGCGGTGTCTTATTGCTTGTGACTCTCAGTCCTCTGGTCCCATGCACCTGCTCCTCTCCACACACTGTGGGCACAGCGGGAACCAACCAGGAGAAAGCAAGAGGTTGGTCAGAGGCTTCACCATCCAAGCGGAGAGGATGCTGGTCTTGTGGACCAGTCAGGTGCTCGGATGGTCTGATGACACAGGAGAAGCCCCCACTAGCATCTCTGCCGGATGGTCACATTCACCCGGGAACCTGAGAACAGGCAGTGAGGGCTTGCAGCATTAGCGCATCTCTGTGGCACCTGGGGCTGAGGTGTCTATGTTCGGCGCCTCTTGGCAGCACTGGGGCTGGAGGGATTGCTGTTGGCAGTCAGGACCTTGTCAGTGACCCGGCTGCGCTTCCGCTTGTCTGCCCCGTCTTTGCACCCCAAGTCTGAGGAGTTCTTCTCCTTGTCTTTGCTGGATTTTTCTAATGCTTTCCCCAAGCTCCCTGAAGATGAAAAAACTGAGAAACAAAATCATTTGGCTGAAGACAAAATATACACAAACTCATTTTTTTTTCCTGTTCAGCTAGATAATGAGATATACATCAGGCTCTCTGCACCTAATGTTACCCTGGGTGGGAGTCCTGTGAAGCTTGGGCTATAAGAGACGCCTCATCTCCCTAGGGGTCTCCTGTCTGAGCACACTTGATGCTCCCAGGTTTGGCCTTGGTCTCAGTGAAGGGACAGCTGAATGCTTGGCCCCTTCCAGGCCTTCAGGGGCCCTCCTGCCTGAGGTGAGCTCATCTCTAAGTGGACCCTCCACCCCTCTGACTCCACGGCTTCCTGGTCCCATTCCGCCTGAGGCGTGCCACGCTTACCGTCATCAGCCCCACTGTGGGGGTCCACATCCTCCTTCATCTCCTCCTTCATCTCCTCTTCAATGACCACTTTTCCTGTGGAGGAGACAGCTGCCGTTCACTGGAAACCCACGGTGGTGGCCAGCGTTGGGGGATGGTCTGGCCATGACTGCTTCCGATTCTCGCTGCCCACACAGGCCTCGGCGTCCATCACGAGATGGCATCCATCAGGAGACTGCCTTTGAGCACCGCTCTCCCCAGCCCTTGGTTCCCAAAACCTCCCGGGTGCCACTGGATGTGGGGTCTGAGCAGGATCCTTACACCTCCCTGGAGGCCCCAGACCTCCCCACCTTTGGCCTGGTCCGGCTTTTTTAATCCCCAGCCCCGATGGTGGCCGAGTCTCACCTTCTCGGACCTCTTGAATGATCTCATCTGGAAGGACAAAGTTCCTCTCTGGATTTGGGAATGGGAGAATCTCAGACTCGTGCTGCCGGCACAAAGCAGTTTTGGTTTTTTTTTTGTATTTTTGAGAAACAGAAAATGGTATCAGCTCACTAAGATGCACAGGAGGAGCAGGCTGGAGGCTGAGCTGGTAGGGTTCCTGGCTCTAGCTTGCAGAGTCTACTGCAGCTGGGCTTTTCAAATGAGGGAGGGCCAGGCTAGCACCAGCCCAACAAAGCCAGAGAAAAGGACCAGGCGCGTGCCACCCAGAGGAAACTGGCAACATGTCAGCCCCGCTGATGTGCATACCAGGAACTGACCTGGCTCACCACTGCAGTATTCCCACCAGGACAATGTTCCCCAGGTGCACCATGACCACAGGCACCTACAGCTCCACCTATCCTGGTACTGAAGTTACACTGCCTGTCAGACACTATAGACAAATCTGCCCAGCTTGGTTACTAGTTACCCTGCATACCTGTCACACATTGCCAGCTCTCCAAACCAGTTACACAGTCACCCATCAGACAGCGCTACCTCTAAGCTCTACAAAGAGGACTACATCTGGCTCCCACAGGGGTATCCAGTGCACCTCAATGGGACTCAGATGGGGTCAGCCTCCACCTAGAGCGCTCGGGACCTCTTACTACTTTACACTGAGGCTGATGCTATTCTCTGGCATCTCAGCAGCCAACTATCTATCTCCCTGGAAGACTTCTTGTGGCCACCCCAGATCTAAAGCAAAAGTGGTCAGAGACCATCACTAGTTAGTGCTTTCCACAGCAGGACTTGGGCTTTCCTGAGGAAGGGCCTCATCTACTGAGATCACTTCTTCTCTGCTCTGCATAGTGAACCCCACGTGACCGGTGGGCTCTGTCTTGTACTACCACAGATGATCCTAGGAAGACAGGATGTGGGTGGGACCCGTCTCCACCTTCAGCCCCAAAGCGGTGAGCCACGGTCCAACTCACCAGTGCCTGCATGTCATACATAGTGCTCAGATGGTCCCAGATGACCTTGGATGGGACCTGGCGCCCAATATTCTGGCTGAACTTGTCTCGAATACAAATCATGTGGAAATGTCGATTCACCCCTGAGAGGCAGGACAGTGGGTTAGGGGTTAGGGCTGCATCTCTGTGCAGACAGCATGGACGTTGGAGGGGCAGGGGTATGAAATGGCAGGTGGGGGTGTTGCAGGAGTCAGGTGTCAAAGAGGATAGAGGTGTCAGGAGGCAAGTGGGTGTCCCAGGGGCAAGTAAGTATACAGTAGGCGGGTCCGGGGCAAGGGGGGCTGCAGAGGCGGGGACTGTGGAGGCGGTCCCTGGGGTAGGAGTGTCTCAAGGGCAGGGAAGTCAGGGGCGTCCCCCGGGAGAGGGCTTCTCGGGCAGGAACGTCATGGGGTCTTGGACTAACTGGGCACTCCGAAGTGGGAGGTCCCGTCTC